AGCCTTATATTGGTAGATTATCCAGGATTTTGGTTGTTGGGGCGGTAATGCCTTGGGAGTGCATCCAGGTTTTGCTTGTGGAGCCACGCAGTACTTTGTCCAGGTTTTGCTTATGGGGGCATGAAAGGATGTAGGCCTGCCCTCCAGGTTACTAAGCCTCAGGCCCGCAAAGGGTTTAGGTCGGTTGCCCAAGTATTCATAGAATGGCCAGGGGTCACGAATCTGTGTCTCCATATACTTTTATGGCTTAAAACCCTACAAACCCTAAAAAAACCCTACTCTCCTAAGACCGTAACAGCTGTATGTAGGTCAACCAGCATGCATGCTGCTGAAAACAGAGGCTGCTTCTGTTTGGGTACGATTGTAGGTCTGTTTGTTAGGTTAAGTATAGACATGTATGGACGTATGGAAGCCAAACATCCTACATGCCTGATTTACGAGTCGAATTGCATAATTTGAGCAGCTCCGATCGAACTTGTAATATGTCTCGTGCGAGCTTTTTTCGGAATTGGCGCGCGAAACACCCAGAAATACCCATGTAACAACCAGAAACACCCGTGTAACAACCAGAAATACCCATGTAACACCTAGATTTGCCCGTGTAAACACCTAGAAAACTAAACGATCAGAAATCAAACAACCAGAAATACCCACCGAAAATCCAACGAAAATCCAACGAACAACCAATTATATCCATGTATCATACGTGGATTTTGGTGGGTGTTTCTTGACGGTGACGGGCCTCGCGCGCGCCGCTCCAGGTTAGGTTTTGTAGTTGAGCTGTGGCTTTTTAGGGGCTAGCTGCTTGCGTCATGCCAGAGAAAATGGTTTCGCGGCAGTTCTCTTGCAGCTCTTTCATGTCTGCGCTGAATACAATGGATGCTGCAAAGCTTCTGGAAGTTTTGCCAGACGATGCTACGCAGTTAGCTAGCATGCTCCAGGATGGATCCTATTTGGTTCATGCAACTATAGGTAATATAGGCCTGCAGACACATATCCTCTAGTATGCTGCCAATTTGCAGGAGCTCAAGGCAGCCAGCGTTGGGAATGCGCAGGCTTTGAAAGAGGACCCCACCATCAAGGAAGAGGGCGTGCCAGCGCCTTCAGAACCCGGTGCGAGTTGGTTGCCTGCCCCGCCAAGCCCTGACAATTGCATGGTGGAGAATGATCCATATCTGGTTGATGAAGCCTCGGGTGAAACCCAGAGCACTGTACCCAAGCTGCGCTTATCTAGATAATGTAACCGCAACCCCAGGGCTGCGTGGGGGTTGTGTGTACCTGTGCAGGGAGAAAACCTCTGNNGTTCCATAAAATGTTGTAAACGCAGCACCTTCGATGTTGATGTATTTCCTCTGTGCCAGACCCCTACCTCAACAACCGCAACCAGCGCAAGCCCGAGTTCCTCCTTGAAGCGCCCGGCCGAGAATGGCCCTGCAGTTGCGCCGAAGAAGGTAGGGGGCTACTGTCTATGTATATTCAAGGTCTATATAGATGTTATAGGGTGTATATAATGTAAAGGTTGTATACAGGGTCTATAAATACATATAGAATTTACGGTGTAGAATTTAGGTTTTAAGGGGCCATATAGAGATCAAGGCGGTTCCTTTGTGTGGGTTTTATAGGGCCGTTGGATGAAACAACAGCACTTATGACCAATTAGAAATATATAGTTTTCCTTCGTAGAGTGGTGAATGTCAGGGTTCCGTTCAAAAAGGACTATTTGTTTAAGATTTCCTTGTTGCAGCAACCCTGCAGGCTAGGACGGATCACAGGATCATGGTTGGGAACATTGGCTTGACGTTGAACCGCTACAACGCCCTCCGTGGAAAATTCAATCGTATGTGCTCGAAAAAGCCTTCGAGTGGCAAGCTTGAGGTCCCGGAAACGATTCATGAAAGCTTCCTATCAAAAGGCGATGCCAAGGACAACCTGTGGCAGGCCTTTGTCCAGGCCGATGGCAACAAGGATTGGCCATAGCGGCTGTGTTCATGCACCTAATCCTCACCCTAGGCTCTGTCCCCAAAACCCCGCTCGCAGGACCAGTTCATTCGGCGCGTGACGTTGCGCAAGACTTCGGAAAGGTCCAATGAGCTCGCAGAGGAGGGTGGCTACTACACGCCTGAAGAAATGAAGAAGGAGCTCAACTACTCGCAGCGTCTTTGCTGAAACTCAACAATTTTTCTTATCATCATTGAGGGTTAATTGTGCATTCTTAGAAGAATTTCACCCTGATCCTTTTGTGCTTTTTTCCCCATTCACGCTTCTGCA